TAAATTTATAACAAATATAAATCAATACCATCGTTGCCAGATTTTTTTTGCGCTAAAATGCCAAATGCTTGTCTAAAAAATGCCAAATAATGCCAAATTTTTGTTAATAATGCCAAAAAAAATGCCAACTTTTAAAATAGCAGAAAAACTTTATAAAAAAACATTGAACCTTATTTATTAACTATATATTCAATAAAACTATTTTAAAAGTCATATATTAATCAGTTTTAACATATTTTTTATATATTTTTCAATAAAAAAACGACGTTTAACATAGATTGTTTATGTATTTATTAAATAGATAAGTATGTTCACTCAACTTTCAAATAAATATAAATCTAAAGTTAAAAAATATGAGTTAAAGAAAATTTCAAATTCTGTTAAAAGAATTATAAAAAATGTTTCAATATCAAACTTCCTTTAGTTTAAATCATCAATTAGAGTGAGATCATCTTCGACTAATTCATCATCGTCAGAATACATGTCCGTTCCCAATTTAGTTAACATTTTGTCACTGATTTTAAAGTCTTTACAACATTTGTTGCGGCTAGCAAGGTAGGCTTTTACTCGCACTACACTGCTGAGCAATTTGTCTGACATTCTGTTTCTTGGTTTGTTTTTAACAAAGGTGACCTGAGAAAAAATACGTTCCACAAAAGCGTTTGATATAGGGAGAACAAGACAAGTTAGGCAATAGTCTGCTAGTTCCTTAAATGCTGCATCTCCTGATGTATTTTTATAGTGGCGAACTGCAGTCCAGAACTCAGTTGTATCTTTTGGTATACAAGAATTTTCAAACAGCTCCGTAGAAGACCAGTCAACCAAACTTACTTTTCTGTACTGATCTTCAATGTTTTGCGCTTTATCCTTCATAATATGCCTTAAAGGCAGATGAGTGAATGGCATTTTAGAACTTTGATGCAGAACCTTTGATGGTGAGAAATAAGATAGACCTCAAAAAATTTCTTTGTTTTCAGGTAGACGTTGATCAAGCTCTTTCAAAAGACGCAAAAGAAGTTGAAGACAACGTGTTAGAACACTTTCAATGTTTTTTCTAGCTATTTCTTTTTGGGTTTGAGGATAAGTATCAGTATATTTTTGCCAATCTGATAAAAACTTTGCCCCAAAGTCAACACATTTTAGAGGCAGTTGAACTCCTTGGTTGTCAAGAACACGCTGTTGTAGACGTTTTTAGTGTAGGTTTAGCTCTGAAACTAGCTTCTCAGGATCCACATTAGTGCTTTGAAAAAGAGCGTTCAAACGCTCAAATTCTTGAACAATTGGTGTCAAAAAGACCACATAAAGATAGAGAGTTTCATCTTTGAACATGTTGTTAATTGTTGTAAAAAAAATGAAATTTTGAAAAAATTTGAAAAAAATGAAGGAATTTCACTGAGCAGAAAGCCAACACTTGATGACATTAATTCAAAGGAATGTTGAACAATGAGGTTCAAGGAGTGGCATGTACAGCGCATTAAAATACAATTAGGAGAGACTGCCCGAACACGAGACCAAACCGAATTGTGAAATCCAATGACATTTGAAGCTCCGTCTGAGCTATACCCAATGCAGTTTTTTAAAGACAATCCAACAGACGTCAACTTTGTTTCCAAAACAGCAAAAAGATCTGCACCAGTGGTTGATATCACAGCAGCTAAACCAAGAAAGTCATCGATAACTGATTTCTGTTCATCTGAATAGTATCGAGCACAAATGCAAAGATGTTTTGTCAAAGAAACATCAGTCGATTCATCAATCAGGATGGGAAAAGGTTTATCTGCCATTGATTCAGAAATTTCTGATTTGATTGATGAAGAAATTACATTTTTAATAATTTGGGTACATTTGGTTCGATGCAGACGAAGGTTTTCAAGGGGACTATTTTTTCCATAAAGAGAAATGATTTCTCCAAGGTGATTTATCGTTGAAATGGGTGCATGACAACACACGCAAAGAGCAAGATGAATATCTGCTTCACAGTCTGCTTTCTTTGATACTAAAGGAAACGTAATCTGGCTTTTTGTGTTAAGATGCTTTTCTCTTGAAGCATGTCTAAAAGTACCACTGTGCTGTTCTACAGACGATTTCTGTGGTTGTATAGTTACACGACAAAGGGTACAGAATGCTGATTCAGTACCATCAGAGCTTTTTTTAAGCCAAGGATAATCCGCTTCCCATTTTTCAAGGTACTTTCTTGAATTTACCCTCGACATTGTGCTTAATGTTCTAATACAAATTAAATACAAACCAACTGAAAAAAAAATCAATTCAACAGTTTCTTTAAAAATGCCAAAAAAAATGCCAAAATGCCAAAATAATGCCAAAATGCCAAAAAATGCAAACATGTTAAAATAATGCCAATTTTACTAAATTTGGCATTAAAAAATGCCAGTTGGCAACACTGATCAATACTTAAAAAGTAATAAGGAAACTGACGTAAGGTAAAAACTAAGATGGCAAACTTTATAAAATAGCACATGCGCAAACGCAAAACCTTTATTTTATCACAAACATTGGTTAAGCCTGGCACAAGATCGGCAAGATCGGCAAAGTTGGCCGATTGTAAAACAAGCATGGCCAACCATTGATTGATGACCGGCATCACTGGCGCGGTGGTGCCGGTCATCAACCGATGAATCCCATGCATGGACCATGCATGGCAAGTTTACTGGGGTGGTTCCGATAAAAAAGGTTAATACACTACTATCTATAATTATTGGAAAGGTCATATTTTTTAATATCAAAGATATCAAAGTTTGGCGAAAAAGTGAAAACAATGTCTACCTGAATTATATGTTATCTTGCTATTTATTAGATTTACCAATAAAACTTCCCTAATTAGTTTATAATTTATTTAAAACCCTGATTAGCTTTTAATTTATTTGCCTATTAATCACCCTTAACAACAATAACCGCCATAAATATATTCTTAGCATTCTACTTAACGACTTATCTAATTAGTCTATTTTGTCACTAAGTATAAAAAAAAAAAAAATACCCATGTATAAACTGAATATCAATTTATTTATCTATTTAATTTAATATATATAATATATAATTTAATATATTTAATTTAATCTAATTAATATAATTGAAATACTACTAATCAATTTACTGATATTTTTTCTATAGCATTGTTAAATATGGTCATATTCTGAAAGGTGAAGAAATTTATTGAAAGAAAGTTGCACATAAGAAAAAAAAAACTAAATAAAAGTTATTCGTTTCAAAAAACGTTTTACGAAGAGTTTTTCCAAACAATTTTATTTTTAATTGGGTTTTTTTTTGAATTACGTCATAAGCATATTAAGGCGTTTTGAAAAACAGTTGCTGCATATATTTGTAGTAAAAAAGTTAATGTAGCAAAATAAACTTTTAATTGTCAAAAGAAAGTTTTAATGTTTTATCTAGCTACAGGCTTTTTTTTTTTTTTGTCTCCACAGCAGCATCTAATGAAGTAGCAGGGCTGTCTTGTTAAGTTTTTTCTTTATTAAGTTTCAGACAACTTTTTTTTCAGACCATCCGCAGCTTATTAGGACTAATTACATTCGCACATTAATAACATAAGTGTCTCAATTATCATAGATACGCAACATATTTTTTCTCCTGGTGATGTTTTTTTTTTTTTTTTTTTAATGTTTTATGAAGTTTTAGCATTCTTAAAATTTTTTGTGAGTGCATAACATCGTTACGTTACATATGTTTGTATATAATCTTTATAAAACTTCGAAAGTATTTTGTATTTTAAAATAATTAAAAAAATTAAAAAAAATAGCCGCCTTTGGTAGGAGTCGAACCTTAAGTTCCTTGTTCAGAACTTCGCCGCCTTATCCACTCGAGCTACACCGGCGTATCATCAAGTGTAGATTTTATAATAATGAATTGATTTTTTTGAGGAAAAAAATGTTAGATCAAAATTAAGGAGAGGTTGACGCAATGTAATTTTCAAGTAAAATTCAAACTGTAAAACGTGATAAATGTTTCAGTTTGTTTTAACATATGCTTTAACATTTCTTAGTTTAAATTTTACGTACGTTAGATATTCGTTCACGTTTTCTTATAATGCTGTGACTCTTTCTTGCCAATACCTCGGTTACAATGGCTGCCTAGGGTTTCGTGTCAAATACGCTCCAAGGGACACTACTACTACTATTAAAACTATTAAGTTCGGCAATATTATATAGAAGATCAGCTGTTTTACAGTTTTTCTGTCGAAAATAAATTTGACAAAAGTAAATAAAATATATGTTTTAATTATGACGTACAATTTTTTCTTAACAACTATTATTACATATGCACGAGTATAATGTCTGATTTATAATTTAGTACTTTGTTGTGACACTTTTTGCTTTTTACGACTGCTTTTAAACGTCTTAATATGCCTTCTACAATATTTGACGTGACGTCAGTACCAAGTTAATTCAAATTTTTACTAAGAATCTCATAAAATTCTTTTAATTTCTTTGTTTTGAAGAAGGTTCTAAAATTGCACATAAATTTTCAATAGGGGTAATGTCCGGACTTTGTGGTGGCCACTTAAGGATGTCAAATTTACTTTTTTTGCAAATCAATATACCATTGTCCTGTCTTTATACCTTCAACATTACCCAGCCTTCTAACACCATTTGAAGCAAAACATCCCCAAACGAAAAGCGAGACGCCTTCATGCGTGACAGTTTTTATGATTTCAATATTAGAGTGCACGATAAGGTCTGCGCCAATATCTTTGCGGTTGGCCAAATAATTGAAGTTTACTCTTATCAGACAATAACACTGAGTTTGAAAATGACTCACCCATGTTAATATACAGTTTTGAAAATGTTTTTTTTTTGTTTGTACCGTTAAAAAGAAGTTTACTTTTCAGAAGACGGTTTATTGACCACTTAAATTATTTCTTCTATGTACAATTCGACTAGAAACATTCATTTTAAAGTTTTCAACAATCTGTATTGAGGTTATTGTTGAACTTTTTTTATATCCGTGCAATTAGGATATCAGATCTTTTGAAATCTTAGGGGGCTTACGAGTCTTTTCTGAATTTCAACTAAATCAGTTGCGTCATATTTTATACACATCTTTTAACACCATTTATTGATATTTGATATTTTTCAGCACATTGCTTGTAAGTTAGGCCATTTTTTTATTCACAAATGTCCCAAAAGCTAATGTCCAATGAATTATTTTGATGATAAATCATTATTATTAATAATTTTACTTTTCTTAAAAATAAACTGAGTTTCAATTTTATCAACAATGTTATTTAGTTTTGTCCGTGACAGTATATATACATATATATATATATATATATATATATATATATATATATATATATATATATATATATATATATATATATATATATATATATATATATATATATATATATATATATATATATATATATATATATATATAGTATATATATATATATATATATATATATATATATGTATATATATATATATGTATATATATATATATATATATATATATATATATATATATATATATATATTTATATATTTATATATATTTATAAATATATATATATATATATATATATATATATATATATATATATATATATATATATATAAATATATATATATATATATATATACATATAAATATATATATATATATATATATATATATATATATATATTATATATATATATATATATATATATATATATATATATATATATATATATATATGTATATATACTGTCACGGACAAATTTAAATAACATTGTTGATAAAATTAAAACTCTTGTTTTTTGTTCATATAAAATTATTTACAGTATAAAAAATCTTTGACAGATCAATGAAAACTCCTAATATAAAGCAGCGAGTACATAACGCATTTGTTAATTAGTTGACTATTTCAACCACTCCATGTTCAGTTGAACATATTTTTTGAAATAAAATTGTTTTTAATACATATATTGTTTATTGTTGAATGATTAAACAGCCTTTAACACATTATTCTTTAAAGCATTTTCAAAAAACACGGAAAGATAGATATATTGGGCAATATTTGGGTAAAATAGAGTAATTGCTACTTTCATTATATCATAAACAGATTTTACATTATTAATAAAATTTTTAATCAGGCAAAATGAAATTAATGCTAATCAAATAAAAATTTTATTAATAATTTGTATTGCAATCACTACTAGTTTTATCAAGCACGTTAGTTTAAAGATTAATTAAGGCGGGTCGCAATTCAATTGATGTAAAATATGATTTACCAATAACTTTTTTGAAGTAATTGAAGTGAAGTTAAGTTAAATAGAATTCTTGATTCTAAAATTAAACTTGCGTATATTAAAAACTATTTCTTTTCCAGAAATAATTGTTTTTTTATAAATGTTTTTCTCATTAATTTTGTTTTTATAAGTGCTTCTTGCATAAGCAATTTTTCTATTAGTTGCTTCAATTGCATTCTAAGTTTATTTGATGTTTCCTTTGGTTTTGTCTAATAGCTTTGCATAACCAAACTTTTTAAAGTTTATTTTTGTTGATTTCAGATGAAACAATTTAGATCAAATTTTATGCTGAGGAGTTAAATTAGAAACAAGTTTAGAAATGGTTGGGTGTAGACTTACCACAACCCGTATTGTACCGGTCATGACAGCTAGTAAATATTTATATATACATATATGTGTGTATTTATACTTGTCTCTATATATACATATATATATATATATATATATATATATATATATATATATATATATATATATATATATATATACATATATATATATACATATATATATATATATATATATATATATATATATATATATATATATATATATATATATATATATATATATATACATGTGTATATATGTATATATATATATAAAATAATAATAAAATATTGATAATATAAAGCTGCGTGTTTAGTTAGTATTATTTATTTATGGTTATAGATTTAACACTTGTTTAAATGTATTTTTATGGTTGAAACGGGGTAGCAACATATTAGAGCTGGGTCTGTTAAATATATATATATATATATATATATATATATATATATATATATATATATATATATATATATATATATATTTATATATATATCTATATATATATATATATATATATATGTTTATATATATATATATATATATATATATATATATATATATATATATATATATATATATATATATATATATATATATATATATATATATATATATATATATATATATATATATATATATATATATATATATATATATATATGTATATATAGAGACAATCATAAATACACACTTATATGTATATATAAATATATACTAGCTGTCATGACCGGTACAATACGGGTTGTGGTAAGTCTACACCCAACCATTTCTAAACTTGTTTCTAATTTAGTCTTTATACTTTAACTTGATCTAGTAAACGACAAAAAAAAGGTTAATATAAAGTTCTGTTTGTTTGTAAAATTCAAACTTTTTTGTAAACCATAAGTCTATTGCTTGT